ATATAAAGTTAATTTTACTAATGTAAAAGTTTATTATTATTTTTTTCTTTAAGGTTTCTGAACCATAAAAAAAATTATAACCTATTTGTTGACAAAGTATCTTATCCCAATATTTAAAAATGTAATTCCAAAAAATTCTTCTTGTTTCCTGTTGACCGTAATGAAAAGGAGTGCAGACAAGTTTAAAAATATGGGTCTTATAAGCAACATGGGCTTAAGAATGTTGGGCAAGTGATTTTGTGCTCATTGAGTTGTTACATTTTGGCCCATACTCTTTACCTTGAAAATTTATTTTCGAACACACCTTATCTCATCTTTCCATTCCCCAATTTTATTTTTTTTATCATTATTAGTAAAATACTTTTTGACCAAAACTTGTTTCCAATTGTGTAATAAGTTGAGGACGGATTTTATTTTTTTATCCATAGAAAGAAATTATAAAGACGGTAATCAATTTTTTTTTGTGCTATGTAAACTTCCATCATGTGTTATATTAATTTGTTTTATTTTATTTATTTGTATTGGTTATTTTGTGATTAAATATAATTTACTAGTTAAATTAACTTGATGGCCAAAGAGATTTATTTCAGTTCGATTCTTAGTATAAATAAAATAAAATAAAAAGAGTAAAATAACTTCATAAATAATAAATGAAGCGGAAATATGAACCGAGTTAAAATTAATCAACATATTCACTTGTAATATCAACGTAACGTGAGATATTACAAAACAAGTGAACAATGAAAAAATGCAGCAATGTAAAAAATAATAGCACCAAAATATCCTTAGCAAAGTCATCCTCTTCCTTTGTTATATATATACATCTTGTCGTAGTGTCTAACTGTGGGAGTGTTGGTATCTTCAAATTAATCATTACTTGAAGATCATGAGCCAACTTGTCAGACATCTTAAAAAATATATATAAATAAGTACTGTGAAGGTTTGATCGTCATTCAATACCTTGGGAAAGAGATATATATATTCTTTTCTAACAATAATAAGAATTCCTTATAGAAAACTTTGGTTGTTAATAACATACGTTAGGCTTGAGTTTTGAATATATGTTGTGGTAACGTGTTTCATATAGTTGAGGAAAGATTAATGGTAAAGAACTCGTGGAAGGAGTCCATGCATGGTTTGTAAGAGACGATAAGATTCTGAAGGCTACTATAAGATTCTGTCATTAAAAAGACTGCATAGAAGATAGAAAGCTAGACGGAAGATAAGGATATATATTGAAGCAGCAACTTGCTGACCTTGTTCATCTTGAATATCTGCTGCAACAACAAGGGCTCCATGTTCAGCGAACAATGTCACTGTCTCTTCCCCAATCCCACTTGCTCCCCCAGTGATTAGAGCCACCTTACCCTCCACCTGGAACATTATTAATCGTATAAAAAATAATAATTCAAGTAATCAAAATCCATCAAAGTATGAAGATATATATATGAATGAACAAAATTAACTATTAAACTATGATGTTAGATGTTACACAGAAACACGATAAAAAGAAAATTACGTAAAAAAGGTGCAGAGACTCAGTCTGAGATAGATCTAACTAAGGGGCACCTCTGTTTGGACATTAGCAGTGACTAGTGAGTGAGTGCGTGAGTTCCTTGTTGGATGAACTCTCCCTAAAACCTGGAACTAAGCTCTTTGGAGTATATATCCCTAATAATAATAACCTATATTTATAAGCTACGTACTTAGAACGCAAAACTCCGTATAACCCACGTTTTCTTCGTTTACTGTATTTAAACTCAATAAATTATTTAAACAACTTAACTCTCCCTAAATCGGCTATTGTTATTTGTTAGTATTATTGGAACTAGCGACTTATAAGTAATCTATATATATATAATATTAATATGATTAAATTAATTTGTACGTTCAATAAATTTATCAAATTTTTAATTAAGTCTTTTTTATACAGTTAAAAACACTTAAAAGAAATATTTTTTAAAATTATGTAATTAAATTTTTACCTACAACATTGTTAAAATCTTATTAGTTTATGTTGGTTGAATATTATGATACGACCTTTTAATATCATAATTAATTATTTTTATTTCTTTTAAATGTTTTTAATTAAATGCCTAATTTTAATATGTTAATTAAGTCAAAACTTAAGATTTTATTTTATCCATCAGAATTATAATATCGCATCAGAATTTGAACATAAAATTGGTTATGCATTTTATTAAGAGTGGAGGAGGATTTAGAGGGGTTATGGTTCATTTCTTCTCCTCCGCCACAATTTTTTAAAATTCATTACTTTTGAAAAATCAATTGTCATAATAAATTCTAATATGTGACATTACTCTTGGAAATAATTGGAAGTTAAATATTCGTGTTATGTATTTGTGGGCATTGCCAAAGTTCAAATACCGCGGTGAAATTAACAATATTAAAATATTTTATAGATGAAAATGTTTGTTTTTTTTATCATACAATGTAATTTATATTGCATCTTATACTATTAATGACATAATTTGCTCAAAAGTTGAGGTAGAAGCCACTCCAAAAGATCAAATTAATTTCATGTCATTTTCTTACGTATTTTGTTGTAACAAGAGAAGACATATTGCTAGGTCAGTTGTATTATTTTATAATTTTTAATTTAGCCAAACATGCATGTATGACCCGAGCTTGCTTTAAGGAAGCTTTAGCAAATAGTATAAGGTCATCTGTAAAAGCTAGGTGGCTTAGGTTAGGACCCCCGCTACACACAAAACTGAATTGGTTTCCAACAATCTATAAATACGATCATATCAATCAAATGAAATAAGTATATTCCATGCATAATAGAAATAAATATGACAACAACAATCACCTTAATGAATGCTTTTAGAAGGGGTGAATTCATCCAAAACTTCTCCATTCCACCAACATCCGCATCTTGGAGGTAGAAATACAAGCTCATACCAAGTCCACAAAAGATTGAGGCAACTCAATATCTTGAAGAGTATCTTTAACAAACCTCCAATTGATATGATCATTTCTCCAAATCCATTTTAATGGTCATCCACCTTTTTTCCCTTTCTTCAATCTCATTGAATGGATCACCTCTTGTGTAATGATAATGTTATCACTACTATGCCTACTGGAAACAAAGTTGCACTAGTTTGGACATACTATATTATTCATTATTGAACACAGCTGATGAACTAACACCTTAGTTAACACCTTATAAGAAACATTGCAAAGACTAATTAATCTTGTGTGCTTTAGTTGATAAACACTATATATCCATCTTTGGTATGAGAGTAATTAAAGTATCATTGATGCTCTTGATCCTATCAAGAACCTCCTTTATTTCATGGATTAGATTATAAAGAGGATCTATCTTCAATAGGACAACCAATATCCGCCAAAGCATGAGCTTGTAAGTTCGAAAACCTTCCTAACAAACAAAAAGGAAGACACTCACAAAATCTTGAAATAGGTTTTTGTAAAAATTGATTACCAAATTTTCGAACTCTTGCCTTTCATTAATCGAGATTCCGTCATCGTTTTGCAAAGTTTCCACCTTATTCCTTTTATGAATGACGGTAGTACCGTGAAAATACTTGGTGTTTTTATCCCCAAGGTACAACAACATATAATAGGATTTTTGGTACCACATGATTCTTTCTCTCATTTAAGGCAATGATCCCTTTACAAGTTAGGTGATTTTTCTCTTTTCAAGAGTTTTTATTTATTGATTTTACATCTCAATATTAAAAAAGAAAACAAATCTCTAAAATAAATATAATATATTTTAATTTTAAACAATATCTTTAAAATCTAAATAGTATCTCAGATATTTAAATTTTAAATTTTGAATTATTTTTCAACAATTTAATAAAAAAAATGTCAAAAAGGATAATCTTAAACTCTTAATATAGTTAAGGTTTCAAGCTAGACTAATTTCTAGAAAAATTCTTAGAATAGTGAATTAAGCCTAACTCAACCCTACAAAATCAGCTTGTAAGGTAAGGGTTGCTTTCCACTTATATATTTTTTAATTGCTTAATCTCTAGTCGATGTGAGACTTGAGTTTTTCCCAATACACCCCCTCACGTCTAGCATTATTGGATTTGGTACGAAGATAAATGATAGGTGACCCTTTTTTAATGATCTAAGATTGGCGGGACTTGAATACACCCTCTCATGCCCATGGTGCATGTATTAATGAATAATGGGCGACCCATTTTTAAGAATTTAGGATAACTCTGATACCATCTTAGAATAGTAGATTTAAGCCTAACTCAACCCTACAAACTGGTTTGTAAGGTGATGGTTACTTTTCACTTATATACTATTTAATTGTTTAATCTCTAGTCGATGTGTGACTTTGTTTTTCCCAATAAAAATTGATAAATATTTATGTCAATATCATGGCTAAAAAAAAAGAAGAAATTCTAGCATATTAGGTTGGAGACAAATACTTGTGTCATAAAATTAGAATATAAAAGTGTAATATTAAATAATTATATAATATATATATATATATATATATATATATATAATCATGAGTAAGTGTGCAATGTACATATAGAATTATTTAGTATATTATTGCTCTAGGGTCGATCTAAGAAATATGTGGTTTTATACGAGTCGCCTGGTACTGGACATGGGTGGTTTCAAATAATAGAGCACCTTAAATTTTTCTGTTTTTCAATGGGTTGACTTCAATAATATTCCACAGCTGTTATATATTCTCTTCATAAAAAAACTGAGATATAGGAGGGTACGGTCTAAATGCAAGCGTTCATGAATCATTAATATGGTTTTTCAATAAACAGCACCACTACTTCAACATATGCATTGCAAATTTGCAGTCATGATATCTTTACTAATTATAGTATTTCTTTATTTATCATTCTGCTATATTCGTATTTTCGTCTAACAATGGATATTTCGAGAAGTTTTTAGGGCTAACTCTAGCTATCTGGTGTGAAAGAAAATGTGTACATGTACATGTACACTTACATTTAGATTTATCATTTATTAATTAAAAGTTCACGTGCTTCTTCCTGCAGTTGTGGGGACGACAAACTGATTAATTGGATTATACACAAAGTGTCTCCCCTCACCTCAGCTTCATTGTTAGAATAATATAATTTTCATCATGTGCCTGTGACGCAAACACGTAATCCCTTATTTTTTTTCATCACTCCAGTCATTCAACGAGTTGTTATCTATAATTAATACAAGTGAGATTAATGTTCTTAGTTTTGGTATTAACTAATGTGATGATGAGAAGAAAAAATTATTCCATATACGTAAAATATATTTATCCTAGCTAGTTTTATCTCGCGAGGAAACAAAAGAAATCTCATGCATCAATCCCCATACCTGTCTTCATATTATAGCACAATATACAGAACTAAAATTAAAATGACAAAGCCTAAATAAACGGGATAAAGAGACTGAATGATTCATTTGCTTAATTTGTCTTTCATGTAGCTAATTATTTCCCAATAGTTTTGCAACTTTAATTAGTAAAACTGGAGCCACATGACATGACGGTTGTTTCGTTGTGGTTTGTGTGCCGCATAATAATTTCTAACGATATAGTACCTAAATTGTGTGGTATAATTGATAATTTGGTATATAATTATTTTTTCATGTCCATATTTATAGAAGAAAATATATTGAGAAATCGTTTTTCTTAAATATATGAATCTTAATGTTGTAAAGAATTAGTCTCTTAAAGGGGGAACTGGGAGGATGTTTCGAGTTAAAAATAAAATAAAATTCATAGAATAGTACTAGAAGTATTTTTTTGATAATTTTGTTTGATTAAAATTAAAGTTCAAAGTGATAATTCATGTAATAAAAAATTAAATTAGATTAAAAGTGAACAAAATTTATGAAAGTGAAAAAATAATTTTGATCAAATAACAAAATTGAAACACATAAAGATTGCATTTAAGTTTTGCTCTTTATAGTTATTGCTTCATATGCGTATCTTCATTGTCGAAAATTGCAAGTGGATCAATTAACATAGTGTTGTATTAACTTAATTAATAACTTTAAATTTAAATTCTAAGTATATGTAACAACGTGTTAAATTCTCTAAAAAAACTATCATTTATAATAATTTGATTTGATTCGAGTAGGGTTACCTCATGTAGAAAATATTTTTTTGCTTTTACTAAAATAATATACTCATCGCTTATCCCTTTTGTTTTTACCAAAATAATATACTTTTCTCTTATCCATTTGCTTTTAAAAGTCGGATAAAATTAAATTTTATATTTAAATTAATTTCAATTATAAATTTTATATTAAAACAAATAGTCAGAATGAGGAATTACTTTTAAATGTAAAACAAATAAATCATTCACCAGTTGAAGGATTTGAGTTGCTAGCTGCAAAGCAAATTGAATCTTTCAATTTGTAAATATCAATGCTGGAATCAAACCTGTAGATTGGTTCTTGGTGGCCGACAATTTCGCCGCAAATGGAAATATTTTAGAGTATAAATAGCTAGAATTACTTCAACATTTTTGTTAGAGTTATGATGGTTCCCTATAGAGGCATTTCAAGTTATATTTCTCAACTAGTATTTCAATACATCCACGCACAGTCATGTTGAATGACTGGTTGACCTATTTTGTAAGAGCGCATGTAAATAACGGAAGTAGGAATGAAAAATATGTATGCCGTAAATATTAGCAAATAAAATTTGTAATGAATTGGATTTAACAAAAAAAGGTTTCGTGGTGATTAGTGTTAATACCCATGGCCAGTCAAGTTGAGTTAAGCATTTTTTGAAAAGGCAAAAAAAATAATTAAAACTACTTACTGTCTCTTGTTCCAGGGGTCGTAGTTCTTTAGTTTATAATTTGACGTCCTTGACATTAGATGCGACAAAGTATATAACATTACAAATATAGAGGAATATAAACATAACTTTGAAAAACAATAGAATTGGGGGGACAAGAGGGGGACAACAAAAAAAGAGGGATTGAAACAGTTGAGGCTAAGAACCTAAACACAAGAAAAGAAAAGGGAAAGTGTACAAAGAAAGCAAACTGGCTTTTGATTCACAAGCAGACAAGGTTTATGAATTTATGCTTCGAAAATACAAACAAAGTAGAGAGACACTGCAGAAATTATGAGTAAGTGCAAATGGTAACAAAGTAATTTGACGCACTGCATGACATCACGTCCTCAACATGAAGGAGAATAAAGAAATTATTGCCAATTTATCAGTCAAAAATTTAAACTATCTGGGTCTACAGGTGTAAAAGGATAACTACGAATAACCACGCTAAAACCACCATCCACCGCCAAATTGTGGCCACTGATGTAAGAAGCTTCATCAGAAGCCAGAAACAAAGCTGCTTCTGCTATATGCCGAGCCTTCAACACAACACCCTTCAGATTAGCATGTGAGCAGCTCTGATCTTCAACTTCTTGAGGTTCAAAGTTGAAAGCTTTGCATGAAAGGGGTGTGGCAACTCCAAAAGGAGATATGCTATTAACCCTTATTCCATAAGCTCCAAGTTCACTACTAGCTGATTTCACCAACCCCAAAAGAGCATGTTTCGATGTTGTGTAACCATGAGGACCCGTTCCAGCAGCCGTAGCAGCCACACTGGTGGTGCATATGATGGATCCGCGGATTCTTTTGGCAACCATGGCACGTGCCGAGTACTTGATTGTGGCGGCTACACCGCGAACGTTTGTGGCCATGGTGTTGTCAAACTCATTCAGATCAAGGTCAAGGATGCAAGATAAAGGACCTAATATTCCAGCGTTGCTGAACAGGATATCTATGCGACCATGCTTTTCCAAAGTGAATTTCACGGTTTCTTTGACTTGGTTTTCGTCTCTCACATCGCAGTGGTGGTATGTTACTTTATCTGACCCTACTGAAGCAGCAACTTGCTGACCTTGTTCATCTTGAATATCTGCTGCAACAACAAGGGCTCCATGTTCAGCGAACAATCTCACTGTCTCTTCACCAATCCCACTTGCTCCACCGGTGATAAGAGCCACCTTACCAACCAACCTGGAACATAATTTAGTTAATTATTCATTGACATTATAACTATCACATCAAGACTGTGGCAACACTACTCTAACTCTCAATCATTAGACCAACTCTTAAAGTTATCAAAGTGTGAATGTGAATGAACAAAATTAACTATAAAACTCTGATGATAGATGTTATAGTATGTTACACACAAACGCAATAAAAACGAAAACTATATTATAAAAAAAAAGAAAAAAAAAAAGGTGCAGAGACTAAGTCTGAGATAGATCTAACTAAGGGGCACCTTTGTTTCGACATTATTGGCAGTGACTAGTGAGTGAATGAGTGAGTTCCTTGTTTGGATGAACTCTCCCCAAAACCTGGAAATAAAGCTCTTTGAGTCTTTGGAGTATCCCCTAATGATGATAACCTATATTTATAAGGTTTGTAGGCTGCAAAGCTCCACGTATATGACGCTAACTAACTGTTGCAATGTTCATTATAATCGTGATTAGTATTATAACCGGTGGCGGATTCAAGATCTATGTTAGTGAGAACAATTTCTCTTTAAAAAATAAAAATTAATAATTTTTATCATCATATATATATATAAAACAAATTTTAAAAATAATATCAGTGAATTTGATATATAAAATTAAATAATGTAAAATAGTAAAAATACAATATTTAAATATACATTAATAATTTAATTAAAATGAGAAAGTATATGTATCAGCTTTTGTATAATGTAAGTATACCACCAATTATAACTACTTTTCTTATTTGTTTTATATTTGAAAAATATCGTTAATCAGATATTTCTTGTGGTGGCTGTTCAAACTAATTGAGACTAATTACCCTCTTTCTTGCTTTCTTCTTCTTTGACGCAATGCGTTTCTCAAGGATACGTAATCAAATAAATATACGTGAACTGTGGTGGAAGAAATTTGACCATGCATTCATTATTTAGGTGAATTCCACGTTTCCAACCAGGTGTATGTTATATAAAATTCATTACACTCTGTTTCGAATCACATGGCCTTCATCATGCTTTTAATGTACAGTTGAAAGGTCAAGCATTCCAACTCTACAAGCTACAATATTATTCACTTTTTTTATGCAATCATACAATTATATATATAGAATTTAGTTGTGTTTTCCAGATGTTTAATATACTACTTTATTATATAATTACATGCAGCCTGAAGAAATTAATATCCCCTTTTCAAATTTATATTTATGTATCAATCAAGTGTCAATTAGTTATTATTTTAAAAATATTATGAACTATTAAGAACAGATGATTTTAGGAGAATAAAATACAGATTCTTTATATATAACAAAATATAAAAAGAGGTAGAAAGAAAAAAGAAAGAAAACTGAAATGAGATAGTTGATGTGATATAAAGAGATATACAAATGACATACAATGATTAGTGATGTTGTTCGATTAGAATTAAAGTATTATCATTGTATTTAATGTAGATTTTATTAATAAATATTTATATATATTATTGATGTAAAATTTAAACTCTGATTAAATAACAATATCAACTATATATAAAGAATTATATTTAAACTTTTTTGGTAAAAAAAATTGCAAATAAACTATATAACCTAATTTCAATTTTTGTGTGAGACATGTGTCTATAAAATACATCACATATGTATTAATGTAGATTGTAGAATAATACTGCTTGAGTAAACTTTAATTAAGCTCCCGTAATTGGTAGCATTTTTTTTAATAATTGTTTCCTTGAAAACTATTATTAAAATTGCCTTCATTTTTATTTATAGACCCAATTTAAATAATTATTTATTTTATATAAAATTTAATTTATATTATCTCATATATTAATTAATTTTAGACTAAAATACTCCTAATTAAAAAAGAGATGAATATTAATTAAGAGAAAAAAATAATATAAGACACGTATTTTAATTAATTAGGAGATATATATGAATATTAATTAGGAAAGAGGAATAATATAAAGGTAATATTATATATATATATAAATACGCACAAATAAAACAAATTTATTGTTAATAATTAAATTAACTATTTATTTTTTAATTTTAGTGAATTAAATACTAATCAAATCTTATATGTACTTATTTTTAGTTTAATTAATAATTTTGAGTTTGAGTGTTTTGATATATAACTGTTGGTATGTAACTATATTAAATAAATAAATAAAAAACTATTTTTGCTCATAGCTTGAACAACATTTGCAACTAAAGGTTGACTCATAGGATTAAGGAGCGACCAATGACAAATTCTGGTAGTTATGTTAAGCAATCATATGGAAAGTTGTGTTGAAAGGATGATGGGTAGAGAAATAATGTGTATTATTGAGACAAGAGCGTCTAATCGCATGATTGAAAACTTCTTACTCACACAAACTATAAATTGTGTAAGGATGCCGTTTGGAATATTGGCAGGCCCTGGCTAAGGCAATGGCCTTAGGTCCTCGGTTCCAGATTCTTTCTTTTTTATTATTATTATTTTTAAATAAATAATTTTAATATAAATAATTAAGTAATATATTTTATTATATTATAATTAATTAGTTAATGTATAAGATCATGTGATTATTTAAAATTTATATATACACACATAAATATTATAATAAAATTATTAATTTGTGAAATTTTATTATAAGCTAAATATTATTTTACATTTGTTTTAAATTTCAATAATAAAAAAATATATCAAAATGAATTTAAAGATTAGTTTTTATAAAAAAGGGTATGACTTATATATAAAAAAAATTAACAAAAATAATAGTGATAAGATCGTCATATAATTTAAATTATTTGTATCCTCTATGTAATTTAAAAAAGTTTATTTCAATCTCACTTCAAATATTATTAGTGAATCTATCAAATAAAATATATTAATTAGTTTTTTATTAATAAAAATATTTTATTAAATTATATTATACAATTAACTTAATTTATATATGTTAGTGATGTTACAAGTAATCTAAGAGACTATTTAAAAAAAAAAAAACAAATATGAATTAAAAAGTTAATTTTAAATTTAAGAATAAAAAATAAATTTATTTCAAATTTGAGACACTGAAAATATATTTGAACCTTCCGAAAATTTCCTGTTTAGCTGTTGGTTGGGAAGGAGTGAATACTGGTTTGAAGATATAGGTCGCCGACGCCGTTTATAAGCAATTTGGGCTTAAACATGTTAGGCAAATGATTTTGGGAATTGGGCTCATTATTGAGTTGTTATGTGATTTTATAATGAATCTTGATATATATACTTTCTTTTTAATATACCTCCTTTTAAAAAAAAGTTAAATTATTAAAATATTCTTAGTTTTTATTATTTTTAATTTTTTAATTTTACATTCCTAATATTTAATTTAATTTTTTTTTTTACATTCTTCTTTTCCTTATTTTCACATGCATCTCCTTAATTTTTCTTTACCCTCATTTATTTTGGTAGGTAATTTTAATTATTTTAGTTTTACATTGTTTTTTTTCCTTCTTTTTTTAGTTTTCTCACTAATTTCATTATCTGCATAGTACTCTAGAATAGTAAAAATATTTTTTTCATAACACTAAACTTAATGTTAAGGTTTTTGGAGGGGTGTAAGGAAAGGAAGTATTGAAAGAAAAAATGTATATCTATAATTTGATAGAAATTGTCGAAGAAGTTACACATACCTACAATGTTGTCTCCTACCAGTTCTATGGTTTGGGTGCATGTGAAAAAGTGAAAGAAGTGAAAAAATAAGAAAATAATATCATGTTGGACAGACAGTATTGTAAGTGTAGTGTAGTTATGTGGTGAAGAAAATTGTGAAAAAATAATTAACAAATGCTGAATTTTTTTTTTTTTTTTTACAGTTAACTAATGCTGAGTTACTTCATAGTCAATATGAACTTGGTAATATTTGATCGTGGAAAAACCAATCTGGTGTACTTATGTAATCATTTTGTTGCCATGTCAGATGACAGCAAGATGTATGAGTTGCAATAAAATTAATGACATGATATAGATATAGGGCAAATGCCATAAGTATTTGTGTAATTTCTCTAATTAAAATTTATATTGAATCAGATTTTTTTTCTTTTTGAGAATAATCTCAGTTGTTGTTGAGGATAATCTTAGTTGTTGTTATGTTAGTATTATTATGATATTAGTGACGAAAATCAACAAAATGTAGATTTTGATTGAAGAACGATATTAATATCTATGATATTGCCTTTAGATTTTATTAATAATATTTTACCTTTATTGTCATATTTTTTTATCATCCTGTTGTTATGTTAGTATTATTATGATATTAGTGACGAAAATCAACAAAATGTAGATTTTGATTGAAGAACGATATTAATATCTATGATATTGCCTTTAGATTTTATTAATAATATTTTACCTTTATTGTCATATTTTTTTACCATCCGAGTTCGAACATAAGATTATGTACATATTATTTTAATTTTTTACTATTATGTTGATTCTAATAGTTTCATCATGTATAATTTACTTATATTTTTACTTCAATTATAAAAAATAATTTTATGTATAAGTATTGTAATGTGATATCATTAGTTCATGTAAGTAGTCATCACTTTTTACTTCAATTATAAAAAATAATTTTATGTATAAGTATTGTAATGTCATATCATTAGTTCATTGAAGTAGTCATCACTTTCAAAGTTATTCATCTCAACATTAATGTCAAATCATGATTTAATTGTGAGAGGGGATTAAAATTGAGTAATTTTAAAAATTGGAGAATCAAAATTATGGATCGATAATTATAAAAGACCAAAAGTACATTTTAATTAGGCATGGTAACGGGGTGGAGCGGGAGTGGGTTTTACGTTCCCCGTCCCCGCTCTCGCAAATTTAAACTGCCCTGTCCCCGATCCCGATACCCTCCTGGGATAAAATTTGGGTCCTCATTCCCGCCTCTGGCGGGGTTCGAGTTTGCGCACCCGGCTCCTATTTTTTTTTCTTTTTTGTTTATAATAAATATGAACAATTTAAAAAAATAAAAGAAAAGTAAAATAATATAAAGTTTTACATATTAATATTTCTAATTTTGGTTTATATATATATAAAAATAATTTTTTAATTATATCATTAAGCGGGG